AGGAACTTCCTCCTTTGTTTCTACAGACACTGAAAGTTCCTCTGAAACTTCTTCTAAAGTTTCTTCTGGAGCCTCAATGATGTCAAGGCCAGTGGAAATCTCTTCCAAAGGTTTTGTTTCCTCAGGAGCCTCAGAGATGACAAGATCTGCTGAAACATCCTCAGTGGTGTCAACAGGCTTTTCTTCAATGACAAGTTCTTCAGAAACTTCCTCCTTTGTTTCTACAGACACTGAAAGTTCCTCTGAAGCTTCCTCCAAAGTTTCTTCTGGAGCCTCAATGATGTCGAGTCCAGTGGAAATCTCTTCCAAAGGTTTTGTTTCCTCTGGAGCCTCAGAGATGACAAGATCTGCTGAAACATCCTCAGTGGTGTCAACAGGCTTTTCCTCAATAACAAGTTCTTCTGAAACTTCCTCCTTTGTTTCTAAAGACACTGAAAGTTCCTCTGAAACTTCTTCTAAAGTTTCTTCTGGAGCCTCAATGATGTCGAGGCCAGCTGAAATCTCTTCCAAAGGTTTTGTTTCCTCAGGAGCCTCAGAGATGACAAGATCTGCTGAAACATCCTCAGTGGTGTCAACAGGCTTTTCTTCAATGACAAGTTCTTCAGAAATTTCCTCCTTTGTTTCTACAGACACTGAAAGTTCTTCTAAATCTTCCTCCAAAGTTTCTTCTGGAGCCTCAATGATGTCGAGGCCAGCTGAAATCTCTTCCAAAGGTTTTGTTTCCTCAGGAGCCTCAGAGATGACAAGATCTGCTGAAACATCCTCAGTGGTGTCAACAGGCTTTTCCTCAATAACAAGTTCTTCAGAAACTTCCTCCTTTGTTTCTACAGACACTGAAAGTTCCTCTGAAGCTTCCTCCAAAGTTTCTTCTGGAGCCTCAATGATGTCAAGGCCAGAGGAAATCTCTTCCAAAGGTTTTGTTTCCTCAGGAGCCTCAGAGATGACAAGATCTGCTGAAACATCCTCAGTGGTGTCAACAGGCTTTTCTTCAATGACAAGTTCTTCAGGAACTTCCTCCTTTGTTTCTACAGACACTGAAAGTTCCTCTGAAGCTTCCTCCAAAGTTTCTTCTGGAGCCTCAATGATGTCAAGTCCAGCTGAAATCTCTTCCAAAGGTTTTGTTTCCTCAGGAGCCTCAGAGATGACAAGATCTGCTGAAACATCCTCAGTGGTGTCAACAGGCTTTTCCTCAATAACAAGTTCTTCAGAAACTTCCTCCTTTGTTTCTACAGACACTGAAAGTTCCTCTGAAACTTCTTCTAAAGTTTCTTCTGGAGCCTCAATGATGTCAAGGCCAGTGGAAATCTCTTCCAAAGGTTTTGTTTCCTCAGGAGCCTCAGAGATGACAAGATCTGCTGAAACATCCTCAGTGGTGTCAACAGGCTTTTCTTCAATGACAAGTTCTTCAGAAACTTCCTCCTTTGTTTCTACAGACACTGAAAGTTCCTCTGAAGCTTCCTCCAAAGTTTCTTCTGGAGCCTCAATGATGTCGAGGCCACCTGAAATCTCTTCCAAAGGTTTTGTTTCCTTAGGAGCCTCAGAGATGACAAGATCTGCTGAAACATCCTCAGTGGTGTCAACAGGCTTTTCTTCAATGACAAGTTCTTCAGAAATTTCCTCCTTTGTTTCTACAGACACTGAAAGTTCTTCTAAATCTTCCTCCAAAGTTTCTTCTGGAGCCTCAATGATGTCGAGGCCAGCTGAAATCTCTTCCAAAGGTTTTGTTTCCTCAGGAGCCTCAGAGATGACAAGATCTGCAACATCCTCAGTGGTGTCAACAGGCTTTTCCTCAATAACAAGTTCTTCAGAAACTTCCTCCTTTGTTTCTACAGACACTGAAAGTTCCTCTGAAATTTCTTCTAAAGTTTCTTCTGGAGCCTCAATGATGTCAAGGCCAGTGGAAATCTCTTCCAAAGGTTTTGTTTCCTCAGGAGCCTCAGAGATGACAAGATCTGCTGAAACATCCTCAGTGGTGTCAACAGGCTTTTCTTCAATGACAAGTTCTTCAGAAACTTCCTCCTTTGTTTCTACAGACACTGAAAGTTCCTCTGAAGCTTCCTCCAAAGTTTCTTCTGGAGCCTCAATGATTTCGAGGTCAGCAGAAATCTCTTCCAAAGGTTTTGTTTCCTCAGGAGCCTCAGAGATGACAAGATCTGCTGAAACATCCTCAGTGGTGTCAACAGGCGTTTCCTCAATGACAAGTTCTTCAGGAACTTCCTCCTTTGTTTCGACAGACACAGTAAGTTTCTCTGAAGCTTCCTCTAAAGTTTTTTCTGGAGCCTCAATGATGTCAAGGCCAGCTGAAATCTCTTCCAAAGGTTTTGCTTCCTCAGGAGCCTCAGAGATGACAAGATCTGCTGAAACATCCTTAGTGGTGTCAACAGGCTTTTCTTCAATGACAAGTTCCTCAGAAACTTCCTCCTTTGTTTCTACAGACACTGTAATTTCCTCTGAAAATTCCTCTGTAGTTTCTTCTGCTTCAATGATTATCTGACTAGCAACATCAACAACTTCTGATTCCACTGCAACTTCCTCAGTTTTTCCAGTGTCTTCTAGAGTTTCCTCGATTTCAGTCACATCTTCTGTTGGTTGTGTTTCCTCAGCAAGTGGAATTTCTGAGACTACCTGTTTGTCAACTTGAGTAACTTCCAATTCCACTTCAACTTCCTCAGTTTTTCCAGTGTCTTCTGGAGTTTCCTCGATTTCAGTCACATCCTCTGTTGGTTGTGTTTCCTCAGCAAGTGGAATTTCTGAGACTTCCTGTTTGTCAACTTGATTAACTTCCAATTCCACTTCAACTTCCTCAGTTTTTCCAGTGTCTTCTGGAGTTTCCTCGATTTCAGTCACATCTTCTGTTGGTTGTGTTTCCTCAGTAAATGGAATTTCTGAGACTACCTGTTTGTCAGCTTGAGTAACTTCCAATTCCACTGCAACTTCCTCAGTTTTTCCAGTGTCTTCTAGAGTTTCCTCGATTTCAGTCACATCCTCTGTTGGTTGTGTTTCCTCAGCAAGTGGAATTTCTGAGACTTCCTGTTTGTCAACTTGAGCAACTTCCAATTCCACTGCAACTTCCTCAGTTTTTCCAGTGTCTTCTGGAGTTTCTGCGATTTCAGTCACATCCTCTGTTGGTTGTGTTTCCTCAGCAAGTGGAATTTCTGAGACTTCCTGTTTGTCAACTTGAGTAACTTCCAATTCCACTGCAACTTCCTCAGTTTTTCCAGTGTCTTCTGGAGTTTCCTCGATTTCAGTCACATCTTCTGTTGGTTGTGTTTCCTCAGTAAATGGAATTTCTGAGACTACCTGTTTGTCAACTTGAGTAACTTCCAATTCCACTGCAACTTCCTCAGTTTTTCCAGTGTCTTCTGGAGTTTCCTCAATTTCAGTCACATCCTCTGTTGGTTGTGTTTCCTCAGCAAGTGGAATTTCTGAGACTACCTGTTTGTCAACTTGAGTAACTTCCAATTCCACTTCAACTTCCTCAGTTTTTCCAGTGTCTTCTGGAGTTTCCTCGATTTCAGTCACATCCTCTGTTGGTTGTGTTTCCTCAGCAAGTGGAATTTCTGAGACTTCCTGTTTGTCAACTTGAGTAACTTCCAATTCCACTGCAACTTCCTCAGTTTTTCCAGTGTCTTCTGGAGTTTCCTTGATTTCAGTCACATCCTCTGTTGGTTGTGTTTCCTCAGTAAATGGAATTTCTGAGACTACCTGTTTGTCAACTTGAGTAACTTCCAATTCCACTGCAACTTCCTCAGTTTTTCCAGTGTCTTCTGGAGTTTCCTCAATTTCAGTCACATCCTCTGTTGGTTGTGTTTCCTCAGTAAATGGAATTTCTGAGACTACCTGTTTGTCAACTTGAGTAACTTCCAATTCCACTTCAACTTCCTCAGTTTTTCCAGTGTCTTCTGGAGTTTCCTCGATTTCAGTCACATCCTCTGTTGGTTGTGTTTCTTCAGCAAGTGGAATTTCTGAGACAACCTGTTTGTCAACTTGAGTAACTTCCAATTCCACTGCAACTTCCTCAGTTTTTCCAGTGTCTTCTGGAGTTTCCTCGATTTCAGTCACATCCTCTGTTGGTTGTGTTTCCTCAGTAAGTGGAATTTCTGAGACTGTTTGTTTGTCAACATCAATAGCTGTAATAGATTCTGAAATATCAGACTCAACAGTGCTCTTGACTTCAGACAAAACATTTAAATCAAGCTGTGTTTTGTCTTCTTGTTGAGATACTGTCATTTCTTCAGATAATATCTCAGTTTCTTTTGAACTGATACCTGAAAGAGTTATCTGCCCCTGAATATCGAGAGTAGTCTCCCGTGCCACAGATATCTGTAGCTGAGAAACGTCCTGGTCACTGGCTGCTGAGAAACGATACATAGATAAAACAATGTAGTTGGGGGTCTGAGGTTATATAGGGATAAAAAGGAGGGTCAAAAGTCAGAGGCAAACATATGATATCAACATAATACATTGGAGAAAATGGCAAAAATCATGGTAACATTTAAGTTCAAAATTTGACTACATATAATGAGGAGGAATTCAGGCTACAAATGGGCATGTAATTGTGTATATACAAATGTTTGGAACTGAAAAAATGTTTTGTCAGAAAGGGAATAAAGAAACTGGCTGCATCATCACTGTGATACGGATTGTGTAAGGTATTGGATACACCAGTGAGAGGACTATTTACAGTCGACAGGAAAAGGCTAAGGCTTTGGCAACACTAGTACTTGTCCTTGTCATAAACCAGTAAAAGCCATATTTCAAATTTTACAGAACTTGTTTTCTTTCCTAGGCATTTTAGCCAAAATACAAAAAGAAAGCATCACAATATTTGCAATTGCATTACTGGGACAGAATTACAATAATCAGTATGGTCACGGCAAATTTTGATTCATCAAATAAAGCCGACTAACAAGTCATAAATAGTACAATTGTTGCCAGTACATAAGGAAATGTGCGGAAGAACCCTTCACCACGAAAAACTTCAACACACAATAACCTACCTTCAATCTTCGTCACCTGCTCGATGGTCACCTCCGCCACGGATTCTTCTAGCTTTTCTTCTGGTGCTGAGATGAAAAATCGGGAGTATTTAGTAAATTCTTACACGTTGAAATTTACATAACATGACAGGTAATTGTTTTTACAATTACTTTGTACTAATTTTAAAAGTACTGCCAATTTCAAATGTTCTATTGATGGAAGTTTCACATTTGAAACAAAACTTTTGATAAAAAATGTCAAAATACAATGTTATCACCAATACATAATTGTTGTGCTGTTTTTTGTGGACATTAATTATTTAATGAGATTTTTTACGTTAACAATGTCATAAACAGATTGAAATTCTTCATACAATAATGAAAGTTGATTTCAACTATATAAAACCTTTAAAAATGTAACAATAATTTGAATAAAACACAGGATAATATTACTTATTGCAATGATAAAATATTAAACTTCTGGCTGCAAAATACATTATCGATTTACAGAACTTCAAACAATTTTAATTATTTTTATTACTTTAAAGGTAAAGTATGCGATGGTTATGAAAATCAAATGCCGAATGCATTGTTTTGAAATTACCCAACTCTTATAAAAAACAATAAGTTAATGTATTAATATTAATCATTTGTATAGCGTGCCATTCCAGAAAGATCGTTTTTACTTCCTTGTATCTATTTTTTCACGAAAATGCATGTCAATTAATAATAAAAAAATCATCATGGAACTGTTGGTTCTTGTGTACTTCTAAATTACCTACAAATAATGCAAAATGAAGATAAATCAAGAAAGTTTAAAAGTAAATAAGGCAAGACACATTCTACTATTCTTTCTTAAAATGCATTTTAGGTTAATACATTAAAAGATGAAGACATCAACATGTTTTTTCTAAAACAATTACTCTTTTTGCCTTCCCAACTGGAAGAATAATAACATCTTGCAAAAAAAAATTGAGCTAGTCACATTCAGCTAACAGAAGCATTAGCACCGGACATCATTGAGAATCAATTAAAGTGAAGAGTAGTTTATGTATGGAAGTGTTCAATAACAATATTCAATATTACAATAATCACAGTCTACATTTGTGACAGAAGTATAGTCAAACCTGACATTTCTTTTATCATTCTCTTTCTGAATATCAAAATAATATTGCAAGTTGCATTTTTGACCAATTAAACCTTTTAAAAACACATTTGTAATACAAATTTTCCGATTCTAAAAGATCTTGATTAAACTTCATATCAAATATCAAGTTTTGAGTGTACTAGACTTTGAAACAGGTTTGACTGTCATGCATGAGCTGATCGAATCTAACACGTGAAAGAGTACCCTGTTTTAAGGGTGATTACAATGACAAGGGACACAACTCAAGACGGAGCAGAGAGAGACCAGATCTAAACTCGGGGAAAAGATACCGTAATAGCCTAGAGTATGATCAATAATCTATGATCAAAGGCATTTTTGGCCCTCATGATTAAAAATACTGAATCTTAAAATCATGTTTACATGGCAAGTTAATTATTTGAAAAAAGACTGTCAAACACATACATGTACTGTATACCGGGATATTTTTGCGATCGTTTTAACTTTTTGCCTTTTCATGTATAAATGGGCAGGGCGAATTCAAGATGGAGGAATTTGTAACATTTATATAACCCTTTTAAACAATCCTAAGAGGGCCAAGTGAACATGAGGTGAATTCTTGTATAATAATACAAGGGCAGAAATAACCTTAACGAAAATCTACAAATATTTTTATACCTTCATCTTGGAAATAAAACAGTGTTTCTTTAAAACATCATTCATGAATATTTTCAGCATTGTATATATTGTTTGTTTTACAGAGTTATGCCCCTTGTCAGACGGCTGTAAACAGAAGAGACTACAAACCATTTTATACAATACAATTGTATCAGTGTGTTGCTGCCAGGATGGCACTATGTGTATCCCATGCTTAAAAAGACTATTCTGACAACAAAATCTGAAAACAGTGTACTACTTAATTTTTGGTTAGAATATTAGAAATTAATTGCTTGTGGTATAATTTATATTTTCAATGACATAATTTCCAAAGGAATCACAACATTCTTCACTGCATGGATTCACAAGTTCTTAGTATCGGAATGTCTATTAGTCTATCAGAGCACAAGAGCCATTCCTTGTAATGCATCGCAAAATAAGGCGCATAGCTAGATTTGAGATCACGATCAAGCAATCTGCTGGCACATCCAGGCATGCCTCACCATGTACTGGGGCAGTCTTGGTTACTTCCTGGTCAGAACTGGTCAGCAGTAAGTCCTGTGGCCCAATATCTATCTCACTTAATTGTGAAGAGGTTGGTATTATTTCAATATCAGAAACAGATTCACTTACAGGTAGAGCTACAGAAATTGACATTACTTCAGGTTTGTCCTCAGTAGTTGCCTCAATATCTTCAATCAAACTTGTTACCTCAACAGTTGTTTCAGTCACTTCAGAAGTTTCAGGTTTCAAACTGATGTCAAAAGTGATTTCCTCGGGAGTCGGTTTCTTTTCAACCTCAACAGTTTCCTCAAAGGTTTCAGCTGGTTTCTCCTCAACTGATATTTCAACTTCAGAAACCTCTTCTGGTTTCTTCTCAATTTCTGTTGATTCTTTGAATGTTTCCTCTGGAACTTCCTCAATCACTTTTTCTGTTTCCTCTGGTTTCTCAGTAACAGTTTCTTTCTCGGTGATAACAGTTTCCTCCTCAGGTGCGACAGTTTCAACTTCCTCAGTTTCCTCAATCAAACTTGTTACCTCAACAGTTGTTTCAGTCACTTCAGAAGTTTCAGGTTTCAAACTGATGTCCAATGTGATTTCCTCGGGAGTCGGTTTCTTTTCAACCTCAACAGTTTCCTCAAAGGTTTCAGCTGGTTTCTCCTCAACTGATATTTCAACTTCAGAAACCTCTTCTGGTTTCTTCTCAATTTCTGTTGATTCTTTGAATGTTTCCTCTGGAACTTCCTCAATCACTTTTTCTGTTACCTCTGGTTTCTCAGTAACAGTTTCTTTTTCAGTGACAATAGTTTCCTCCTCAGGTGCAACAGTTTCAAGTTCCTCAGTTTCCTCAATCAAACTTGTAACCTCAACAGTTGTTTCAGTCACTTCAGAAGTTTCAGGTTTCAAACTGATGTCAAAAGTGATTTCCTCGGGAGTCGGTTTCTTTTCAACCTCAACAGTTTCCTCAAAGGTTTCAGCTGGTTTCTCCTCAACTGATATTTCAACTTCAGAAACCTCTTCTGGTTTCTTCTCAATTTCTGTTGATTCTTTGAATGTTTCCTCTGGAACTTCCTCAATCACTTTTTCTGTTTCCTCTGGTTTCTCAGTAACAGTTTCTTTTTCAGTGACAACAGTTTCCTCCTCAGGTGCGACAGTTTCAACTTCCTCAGTTTCCTCAATCAAACTTGTAACCTCAACAGTTGTTTCAGTCACTTCAGAAGTTTCAGGTTTCAAACTGATGTCAAATGTGATTTCCTCGGGAGTCGGTTTCTTTTCAACCTCAACAGTTTCCTCAAAGGTTTCAGCTGGTTTCTCCTCAACTGATATTTCAACTTCAGAAACCTCTTCTGGTTTCTTCTCAATTTCTGTTGATTCTTTGAATGTTTCCTCTGGAACTTCCTCAATCACTTTTTCTGTTACCTCTGGTTTCTCTGTAACAGTTTCTTTTTCAGTGACAATAGTTTCCTCCTCAGGTGCGACAGTTTCAACTTCCTCAGTTTCCTCAATCAAACTTGTAACCTCAACAGTTGTTTCAGTCACTTCAGAAGTTTCAGGTTTCAAACTGATGTCAAAAGTGATTTCCTCGGGAGTCGGTTTCTTTTCAACCTCAACAGTTTCCTCAAAGGTTTCAGCTGGTTTCTCCTCAACTGATATTTCAACTTCAGAAACCTCTTCTGGTTTCTTCTCAATTTCTGTTGATTCTTTGAATGTTTCCTCTGGAACTTCCTCAATCACTTTTTCTGTTTCCTCTGGTTTCTCAGTAACAGTTTCTTTTTCAGTGACAATAGTTTCCTCCTCAGGTGCAACAGTTTCAACTTCCTCAGTTTCCTCAATCAAACTTGTAACCTCAACAGTTGTTTCAGTCACTTCAGAAGTTTCAGGTTTCAAACTGATGTCAATGTGATTTCCTCGGGAGTCGGTTTCTTTTCAACCTCAACAGTTTCCTCAAAGGTTTCAGCTGGTTTCTCCTCAACTGATATTTCACTTCAGAAACCTCTTCTGGTTTCTTCTCAATTTCTTTGATTCTAATGTTTCCTCTGGAATTTCCTCAATCACTTTTTCTGTTCAACCTCTGGTTTCTCAGTAACAATCAGTTTCTCTTTCAGACAATAGTTTTTCAGACTGGTTTCTCAATCAAACTTGACCTCAACAGTTGTTTCAGTCACTTCAGAAGTTTCAGGTTTCAAACTGATGTCAAATGTGATTTCCTCTGGTTTCTTTTCAACCTTCTCAACTGATATTTCAACTTCAGAAACCTCTTCTGGTTTCTTCTCAATTTCTGTTGATTCTTTGAATGTTTCCTCTGGAACTTCCTCAATCACTTTTTCTGTTTCCTCTGGTTTCTCAGTAACAGTTTCTCTTTCAGTGACAATACTTTCCTCCTCAGGTGCGACAGTTTCAACTTCCTCAGTTTCCTCAATTACCTCAACAGTTGTTTCAGTCACTTCAGAAGTTTCAGGTTTCAAACTGATCTCTCAATCTCAACAGTTTTCAAAGGTTTCAGCTGGTTTCTCCTCAACTGATATTTCAACTTCAGAAACCTCTTCTGGTTTTTCTCAATTTCAGTAACAGTTTCTCTTTCAGTGACAATACTTTCCTCCTTAGGTGCGACAGTTTCAACTTCCTCAGTTTCCTCAATCAAACTTGTTACCTCAACAGTTGTTTCAGTCACTTCAGAAGTTTCAGGTTTCAAACTGATGTCCAATGTGATTTCCTCGGGAGTCGGTTTCTTTTCAACCTCAACAGTTTCCTCAAAGGTTTCAGCTGGTTTCTCCTCAACTGATATTTCAACTTCAGAAACCTCTTCTGGTTTCTTCTCAATTTC